AACTAAAAACTTGTGAAACACGAGCCAAAATAAACCTATTCCTTTACACTGTGCGTGTCGGATACTATGTCTCAGTGATGAAAGAAGTGACTCAGATAAAGCTTTCATCTGACAATGAAAAACTTGTGGGCTGTGAACACAACTTTCTTACAGGAACAAGAAGTTCAAAGCTTTTCAATTTGAAGAATGTAGAATTATAAAATATGAAAAATATTAAGAATTTCAAAATATATTTTGTTTCCTCACCTGCAACTGACATGCACATTTCAAACCATCACCATCTTCTTTACAGACTCCTCCATATTTACATGATGACTCATCACAAACTCTTACATCAGATTCCCTTACATTTAATTCTGCAAGAGAAGAAAAAACTGTTTTGTATATATTTGGCTTTTTTTTCTTTTACAGATGTACACAGATATAAATAAAAAAGCCAATCCTTAAAATATATTGCACGTCTCATTTACAGATGTAAGACAATATAAACAAAGCAAGTTCTATAGAATATAACATATTCCCCGAACAGAATCCTACATAACACGCCTTCTTCATTTGTGAAACCTATTCCCAAATGAAACTCAAAATTTCAGGATTTAATAATTCCCCAAGATAAATCTATGCAATTTTTCTCTTTTGGTCTGGCAGGTCCTTAAGATAATCTTCTTACACTGTCTTAAATTTATTATTTTTCCAGTGAGTAACTTACCTTTAAGGATAATAAAAAACTAAAAGGTATCATCTTCTTACAGTCACAATAAATTTTATATGAGCAATCAGTATTCATTCTAGATAAACAATTTTAATTAAAACTACAAAATTAATTTGAATTTCATGCAATAGATATAGAACATTTGTATACAGAGAATTAAAGAGATTCAAAATCATTACATTTGAAACTTATAAATGATTGATTTTATTTTACTCTACCACAGAAGAGTCAACTGATATCACGGAGCAGCATTCTATGACGATTTTGTTTCTGCCCCAAGATACAAATACTCTTCTCCAACAATCTCCTATCACTGACTCTTTTCTATTCTGAGATTTCAAAGTAGTGCTTGTGGGCTGAGACGAAGACTCATATCTAGTAACACCTCTTCTAGTGACATTTCACTGACCTCTTCTTCCCATTTGTTCACACTGCTCTGCAATGGTGTCTTGGGTCTGCTGTTCCTAGGTGCTAGCAACCAAGTTTGGGAACTTAAATGCTCCCCCAAAAGCTCATGTGTTGAGAGGTTGGTCCCCAGCTGATGATGCTACTGGGAGACATGGAAACTCTAGAGGGGGTGCCTAGCTGGAGGAAGCAGTCACTGGAGTCACGGCTTCAAAGGACATATTTTGTCCCTCCCACTCCCTTGTTCACTGCTTCCTGGGCATCATGAGATCAGCAGCTTTGCTTCACCTTGGCCTTCTACATGTCCCTTACCACAGGTCCACAGCAATGGAACCAGCAACCATGGACTGAAACCTCAAACTGTGAGCCAAAGTATCTTTCCTTCTCCAAGCTGTTATTCCCAGTATCTGGCCATTATGATGAAAAACTGACTGGCACATAACAGAATACACAAGGAACTGACAGTCAACAGTATTCACATGAATAGCCACTTTGAAACAAGCACTGTAGTCTGAAAAAGGTCTTTGTATCTGTGGGTTACAATTTCATTTTCTTAAATGGATCTCAAGTGCACAGAACTGGATTACTCTAAAATTCAAGTATTAACACTTAAAATAAGTGATAATTCATAAAGCTGTTTTGTTATTTTGTTTCACAAACTATTCCAGCTACAGAAAATGATTTTTTAGTTCTTTCCTGAACTAGACATGCAGGTTTTAGGTTCTTGGTCTCTGAATTTTTATTCAGTCTTCCCTTCCTCCCTTAACTATATAATTCTATAGTCCTACTAGGACATTAATACAAGGTCCAATTCCAAATACTATTGAATGTGCAGCTTCAGACTCACAGAAGATAAATAAATATTGTATTAATAATGAACTGCCCTGGAAAGAAGGCTAAGAGTGCAGAATATCTTCACTCAGCTACGGGCTTAACCAAGTTTAAGGGTGATAGAAATACGAATTGCACAGTCTGAAAAGTAAAAATGTAATGCATTTCTCTTCTTGGGAGGCTTGAAGCTCACACTGGGATCAGCTACAGTCCATAATACAACTAGATATTAAAAAAAAGAATAAACTTTTTATTTTGTCAGAGTCAAAATCATGCACTAAAGTAGTGTATAGTGACACACACTTGTAATCCCACTCTCCTGTGAAGCTGAGGCAAGAGAATCACAATTTTGCTCCTGGACTCATCATGCCCTAAATTACAACTTGCTACCTCAGCTTGAGATTCTTTTGAGTTGTAATGCTTTTACCTGTTGTACTTCATAGTACAGTGGATTATATGCTAGAATCTAACCCATCCACTAAGATTCACAAATTTAGTGCCCTCAAGTTCGTGAGGAATCTGTTTGCATGAGGGACCAAGAAATATTTCAGGGAAATAAACATCTTTACTAAAGCAAGGCCAAAATGTTGGTCCAACAAACGAATTCTTGAGCAACAGAAGGAACCCCTAGCGAAGTGTAGTGTTTACCATTTGAACCGCTTCCCTTACCCAACCTCAAAAGCTTATCATGACAGAGACAGGGGCCACAACAAGAAAAAAGAATGGCTTTCCCTAAAGACTCTTAAGTAATAAGATAAAAAGAGGTTGCTGCTTTGATGCTCACACATCAAGTTACAGTAGAAGGGGAACAACAGAAGCACATCTCAACAGCTAGGCACAGCAGCAGCACACCTGGCAGAACAGCACAGACCAGTGGTGGGGAACCTACGGCGTGCATGCTGCAGCAGGCTGTTTCTATCATGAAAGCTCTAAAAGATCTGCCATCACTGGACAGACCAAGGGAAAGTAGTGTCAGGCAGGAGATACACCTCTGATCTCTGGCAAGCAACAGCAATGCACACCTGCAGGAGCAATAAATATCCCAGGACAAAAAAGATGCCACGTGGCAGTGGCCAGAACACATTAGTGAGTCCACATGAAACACCTCTGGGTGACTCCAAAAATAATCCTGGGAGAGAGGCACTTACAAGAGCTGGAGGTCTGGCATGGTTTGAGTATATCCCCAAAAAATTCATGTGTTGGAGCCCTAATTCCTTGAGAGGTATTTGGATCACTGAGGTAGACCCCTCATGAATGGATTAATGCCTGTCTCAAGGAACTGGTTAGGAAGCTCAGGAGTTCACCCCTGCTTCCCTCATTGGCATGTGCCTATGTGGTGTTCTGCTTTCTACCATGAGTTGAAGTAGCACAAGACTCTCACCAAATGTAGCCACTAACCCGCCCAGACTTCCCAGCCTCTTAAGCCAGAATAGCCCCTTTTCTTTATAAATTACTCAGTTTCAGGTAATCTGTTACAGCAACAGAAAACAGACTACAACAATGCCTTATATTAAGTTAAAATCATAAAATTCTAATTACTCTGGTTATTAGTCAGGCTTTATATTATGCCTAGCTTGTAATCAAATCTATGCTATGTATTAATCTGTTAAATATCATTATTTAGTTGATCAGGAAGCTCTTATTAAGCATCTACCATGTACTTAATACTATACTAAGAATGAGACAGAAAAATATACAAGGAGCTTATACTCTTGCTAGCTCATGGAACAATTAGTGAGTGATATATTCAATACAGTCAATAATAAAGAGGATAACTAAGCACCACCATCTACAATTACTTTAAAAGTTTCAAGAGGTCAAGGATAAAAATGGATTTGAAGGACAAGGTGCAATGTCTGAAAAGGTATAATTTGATTAACCTTGAAAAATTAAATTAGCTTTTTTATATGAAATTATATATCATTATAGAGAATTCAGAAAAGACATCTAAAACTAAAGAATGTTCTAACTACCCCAACCATCATGTTTCAGCTAGTTTCTCTTTGCTGAGGCACAGTATCTGACTCCTACAATTTAGAGGTTTATTTTGGCTCACAGTTCACAGACGGTTCAGCCCATAGTCAGCTGGCTCCAATGCAGGTCAACATGGCACGGGACAAAACAGAGAAGATGGTTACAGCACTACAGTACGTAAGCAGGGACATGAGGGGAAAAGCAGGTAGGGAGAGAGATCCTTCCAGGCCACGTCCTCAGTGATTCCCCTGCTCTAACAGGCTGCATCTCCCAACATCACAGTTACCTATAACCTCACCAGTAGACTGATCCACTGATAAGTATCACAACCCATGATCCAGTCACCTCCCAAAAACCCCACCAATGAGTGCATGAGGCTTTGGGTGGGACATCCAGACATGAACCATAGCAGGTAATATTAAAAGACAACATTTTTATCTAGGAAAACAGTATGAGTAAGAATAGAGATAAAGTAAATTAATAGTAAACACAAATAGTATCAGTGATTTCCAAACCATGCTCTTTAGAAAAGCTAGTCCCAGGGCTGGGGATTTAGCTCAGTGGCATAGAGCCTGCCTAGCAAGCACAAGGTCATGAGTTCTACTCCAAGTACGGGAAAAGAACCAAAAAAAAGAGAGAGAAAGAAAGAAAAAGAAAGAAAGAAAGAAAGAAAGAAAGAAAGAAAGAAAGAAAGAAAGAAAGAAAGAAAGAAAGAAAAGCTAGTCCCCTAGACTAGCTTGTATCATTATTAAAACCAAGTAAAACTGTTATTCTCTCATTTACAATGAAGGAAAAAAGCAATGAAAAAAGTGTTCTGATTTTAAGGGGTTTTTTTGCTAATTTCTTAAGTTTTCAATATCTGAGATTACTTCCTTCCTAGCTACTAGAAAACGTTCAACAAATAAGTAAAAATTATTATAGAAAAATCCAGCAGTGTATCTATCACAAATTCCTGAATATCTATCTTAAATTGTTTTACAGTTATAGCAGTCACTGCCAATTACTCTCCTTGGATTGGTTCTTCCTTTCTTAGTAAGGAAACCCCTCCTGGGTTCAAGGAAACAAACTACCCAGCTAAGGAACCTGTCTTTCTCAGTCTCCCTTGCTCTGTGCCACAGTTCATCATAAAGAGTGTCCTTCCTCCCCTACTCTTCCATTCTCTTTCCTGACTGGGGAGCTCACCTATTGCCTAAAGTTAGCAACTTACACGCATAATGATGAGAGCTCCAGACTCAAATGGTAGAGAGTAGAAAGGAATAATCATGAGATCTCCATACCTACTGTGGATTCATCCCTCCAGACTTTCTGTTGTAGGAAATAAATGAGTAAGTAACTAAAATAGTAAAGACTTCATCATATAAGCCAATATTGGTCAAGTCACTGGTAGATGCAGTGAAACACAATCCCAATAGAATAATGGCATGTAAATTTAAC